CTAGCGTGATAGTGTGATTTTTTTATATTTGGCTGGAAAGCCACAAGGGGCTATCGTTAGAGAACTCCAGCATTTAAATTTGAATAAATCTTTTGTGTCTCGTACCATCGCTCGTTACTGGTAGCGTAGCCCGACGTCAAGGAAGTGGATGGAAGAAAACAGCAACATCAGCAGAAATGGTTCGAAAAATAAAAATCGAAACCCGCATCGAAGTGGCCGAAAAACGACTCGTGAGCTGAACATATCGCAATATTCCATTCGGCAAATATTGAAAAATGAGCTCGGGATAAAGCCATTGAAATTCCAAAAAGTGCAATAACTTACACTGCAACAGAAAGAAAATAGACCCAAAAGAGCTAGAGACTTGCTTCGCTTGGCCGAAAGTGGTGGATTGCCGAATTTGGTTTTCTCCGATGGGAAAACATTCGTTGTCCAGCAGTTTATATACAAATAAAATGATCGTGTTTACCTTTCCAAGAGGTCAGTTAAAAATGTGCACCTTCGTTTGGCCACCAGAACTCAAGCGCCGACCATGGTGATGGTGTGGTGTGGGCTGCCATAACAGCCGATGGTCGCTCTTCGCTCGTATTAATCGACCGTGGCATCAGAATAAATGCCGATTATATTCGCGAAAAAATTCTGCGGGGTGTATTAAAGCCTTGGGCACGAAAACATTTTGGCCGCAGACCTTGGACATCCCAACAGGACTCAGCACCATCGCACTCAGAACGCGCCACTCAAGAATGGTTACAAAATGAGGTTCCTCGCTTCATTCCCGGCCATGGTGATGTTATGAGCCGCCATAACAGCCGATGGTCGCTCTCCGCTTGTATTAATTGACCGTGGCATCGGAATAAATGCCGAATATTATCTCGAAAATATTCTGGAGGGTGTATTAAAGCCTTGGGCACGCAAACACCCAAAAATCTCCAGGTACCAATCCATTTGACTATTGTGTCTGGAGTATTTTGGAAAGCAAGGTTGGCACTAAAAAATACCAAAGTGTCGATCACTTCAAGCAAGCGCTTCGCCGGGAATGGGCCAAAATACCGCAGAGCAACATTCGGACAGCGTATGTCGGTTTCATTGGCCGTTTGAAGGCCATAATTCGTGCCAAAGGTGGCCAATTCGAACAAATCTAAACTTATTCTAAACTTTGATGCTAGTTCCGACATTTTTTGCCTTAATTCAATAATATTAAAAAAAATTAAAAATTATGGCGATTGACTTTGTTGGAGTTTTTTAGCTCACCCTGTATCTCCCTAATTTCTTAATTTTGCTGGTCACCCCTCGGAAATTGCGTTTTATCCACGTCCTTTCCTGAAAGAGAGGGGTCTCTAAATGGCATCTAATTCTTAGGGCCCTGTAACTTTCTTTTACCTTTGCTATTTTGTCTCTCCTACATTATCACCACCCTCAGCCGACATTTACGACCCACGTCCCTGTCAAAAAGGTATCATTGTTCGTTTTGGAACGAAATCAAAACTCCAGCTAAAATCGATTACGTTGTTGTTGTTGTTGTTATCTCACGAAGGGACAAAAGAACGGGGTGATTATCTCTTCAATGGATCAATCATTGATTACGTAGTTTGGCCGTAGCAAGCGTAATTTGAAGGGACTTAAAATGACCCAAGGAGTGTGGTAGGCCATCTCCTACCATCTTACCAGAGCACCCCCTATGGACCGACGAAGAAGAAGAAGAAGGCGAGACAAGGAGAAGGGAAACAACAACAACAATGAAGAAGTCGTCGCCACACAATAAACACAGATTAGATACGCCGCTGCCGAAAGAATGATGCCACTGCCGTTGAAGATCTTATCAAAGGGTGGTTGTTGTTGTTACTCGAAATTTTCTTATTTCCTTTTAGGGATAAAATGGAACATTTTGAAAAGAATATTGTCTCGGGGTGCGTGTGTGTGTGTTTTCATTTTTTGTTCTTGTTTTAGGTAACCATTATTTTTCTCGTCTTGTGATTGAAACAATTACCGATCAATTGTCAGGCTTAGATTCCAACTCTCTCTTTCACTCTCTCTTAGACTATGGTTACCAGAGACCGAACGAGAGTCTTCGGTGTGTGTGAGTCTCTGTTTTTTGATTTTTTAGAACACGTGTTCACAACCCAATGGACAGGATTTTAATTTCACAAAATCTCTGTGCTATGTGAGTTGTTGTTTTTAATTCTTTTCAAGGGACCTTTGCTTTTTTTCTTTCTTTCTTCTGTACGTGTCGTTGGTTTGAAAAGAAGCATGAATTGGGCAACAAAAGAAATTGAATTGAAATCGGGGGCAACATGAAATTAATCACCATGAAAATTTGAAAATTCTGGGTTTAGAATTTTCTTTCGAAAAATAAAGAAAACAATGGACAATGATGACGCGAGGAAAAAAGGATAATTTGGTCAAAGAAATGGCCCCTATATGACATGGCATAAAATTGAGTAGGATTTGTTTATTTTTTTGATTTTAGATTTTTTTCTAAAAATTCAAAATTTTGTAGTTGTTAATTTCTTATCTAAAAATGACATTTTGTGGACTTGGCATACGTTCGAACTATATTTTTAATTCCCAAATATTTCTTGTATTTTCCCTCGGTTTTCATATTAATTTTTATATCCTTAGGCTACACACAGGCTACAAAGGGTGTATATCATTTGATACGGCTAAAACGTGCCTCATTAAAATAACAATTTAAAACCCTAGGACTACTTGGACGAAATCCGTTTCAGGACATTTGGAGTCGATCTACGTATGTCCGTCCGTCTTTCTTCTTGACTGGCCGGTGCACACGATAACCCTTGAAGAGAGTATCCGATTTGATCCAAACTTGGTGTATCGTAATATTATTATCAAACTTAGATGGAGTTTGGAGATGGGCAATATCGATCCACTCCTTCTGGTATCTCTCACACAAAAGGTGAAAATTTTTACAGAAAATAATTTACAGCATAGAACAAGAAAGCATTATCCAATTTAGTGCAAACTTTGCAAATTCCAATATTTGTATCAGTTGCGTAAGTCAGATGCCAAAGTGGACAGTATCGGCCAACTCAGTTAAATACTTCGCCCACAAAGAGTTAACATTTTGAACAATTATAACTTTCAAAAATTCTGAAATAAGGGTCCGATTGTCTTCAACTTTCGCACATCTCAATATTTCTACCTATATAAGGTCTAGTATGAAGAATTTATATAACGGACCTGGTGGAGGAGTTAACATTTTAAAAAAATAACCAAAATTCTTACAAAATACGAAATAAGCATTCGAGCACTTTAAAACACGGCACATCACAATATTTCTGCTAACATAAGATATGGTATGAAGATCGAATATATCGGCTCAGTCCTGCTTGTACCCCCACAACGGGTCAAATTTTTTGAATAGTTTTAGCTGCCTAAAAATGCGAAATAAGCTTCAGATTCTCCTCAAATTTCACACTCACCAATATTTTTATTTATACAAGCTCTGGTGTGAGGATGAGATGTATAAGTCCACCCGGTCCACTTGTTCTAGTACCTCCCCCACAAAGGGGTCAAAATTTTGAATAATCAAAATGCTCCTAAAATGCCAAGTAAGCATCCGATTACATTCATACTCGGTATATCTTAATATTTCTATGAACTCAAAATCTGGTGTGAAGATAGAATATATTGGACCACTCCTTCTGGTACCTCCCCCACAAAGGGAGTCAAAATTTTGAATAACCAAAAATGCTCATAAAATTCGAAATAAGCGTCTGATCACTTTCAAATCCAGCACATCCCAATATTTCTTCCAACACAAGATCTGGTGTGAGAATGGTACATATTGGTTCAATCCTGCTGGTACCTCCCCCATAAAAGAGTCAAAATTTTGAATAACCAAAATGCCAATAAAATACGAGATAAGCATCCGATTACTTTCAAACTCGGCACATTCCAATATTTCTTCCAACACAAGATCTGGTGCGAACATGGTAGATATTAACCCAACCCTTCTGGTACCTCCCCCACAAAGGGTCAACATTTTTGAATAATTATAACTCCCATAAAATGGGAAAAAGTCATCCGATTCTCTTCAAATTTCACACACCCCAATATTTCTTCCAACTCAAGATCTGCTGCGAGGGCGGGACATATTGGCATACACCTTCTGGTACCTCCCCCACAAAGGGGTCAAAATTTTGAATAACAAAAATGCTCATAAAATGTGAAATAAGCGTCCGATCACTTTCAAACCGGGCACATCCCAATATTTCTTCCAACACAAAATCTGGTGTGAACATGTTAGATATTGGTCTAATCCTTCTGATACCTCCCCCATAAAGGGGTCAAAATTTTGAATAATTATAATTCTCACATAACGCGAAAAACGCTTCCGATTATCTTCAAATTTCAAACATAACAATACTTCTTCCAACACAAGATCTGGTGTAAGGGCGGGATATATCGGTTCATCCCTTCTGGTACCTCCCCCCACAAAGAGGTCAAAATTTGGAATAACCATGAAGACAACAAAAAGCGAAATAAGCTTCTGATTATTGTTATACTCGGTATATCTCAATATTTCTATCACCACAAGATCAGGTGTGAAGATGGTGCATATCGGTCCAACCCTTCTGGCACCTATCTCACAAAGGGTCAAAGTTTTTAAAAAAATTTAACTCTCCTAAAATGCGAAATAAATATCCGATTACTTTCATACTGGGTTTATCCTAATGTGTTTACTTACAGAAGATCTGGTGTAAAGATGATAGATGTCGGATTACTCCTTCTGGTACATCCTCCACAACGGATCACAATTTTCAATATTTATATCTCTCATAACTTGTGGGAGAGTTTATTCTTTTCCTTTTTATTTTTTCTCTCAACTGGAGATCTGGTGTCAATCTTCTTGTACCATCCTGAAATATGACCCCTGACCCGTTTAAAATTTTAAAATTTTTTTTTATACACAATTTTTAATATTTTCCCCATTTCCTCCCCGAATAATCATTACAATAAAACATTTTTTTTTTTCAAAATTTTCTTTTCAATATTTGTTTTTGTTATTTTGCTTTTTTAAATAATGTTTTTTTTTTTCCTTACAAAACTAAATAAATTAACAATGATTGTGTGTATGTATGTGAGTGTAAGTAAGATGTGTATATGTGTGTGTGTGTGGAATTGGAAGGCTTTACTAAACTCTATCACAAGTTGGATTAAACTAAAGTTAAACAATAATAATAAAAAATAATAATTAAATCTAGTGGCTAATGATCAATGGCTTCTCTCCATTTTCTCTCGATCTCTTTTCCTCTCAGTGTTTGTTTGTTTAAAGCTTTTTTGTTGGTTGTGTTGTTTGGGTGGGTTGATTGATGTCAGGAACCTGTTGGCGGTTGCAAAACATTGTGGAAGACTTGGTTTGGTGGGTGGTTGGCTATTTGGCCATGGTTTGTTGTTTTGTTTACCAAGGACGCCATACATTTTCCTCATCCTCTTCATCAACATCGACATCAATGCTGGTCACATCAATGGCCGGTGTACTGGGACAGGTGGTCAGCAGCGAGTTGGATTGCTTCTCACTGCCCACACTTGAGTTGGGACTGCTGCTGTAACTGGACACAGGTGAAATGGGCACGGTATATTGACCCTTGAAGCTGGGGGCGCCAATTTGCACGGAGAGCGGGGTACTCAAAGGCAGCGATGGCTTAACTGGTGGTTGTAGCTGATTCAGGCGCTGGCCCAAATGTGTCATCAGTTGAGTGCCCAGACTGACATTGACACCCGGCAGCTCGGACAGGGAACGTGACACCTCATTGACGGCATGAATGTAACCGGAACGGAAGCCCTCCGATTGGGACATGGTATTGCTGGCTCCACTGGAGGCCTTGGCCAAACGTTGTTGTTTCATTTTTTGCAAATGGGTTACGGTCAGCTCCAAAATATCGGCCTTTTCCAAACGGGTTACATGTTCACCCTCCGACTCCAAAGTGGCCACCATTAAATCCTTCAGCTCATCCAGGCATTTGTTGATGCGGGCACGGCGTTTACGTTCCAACATGGGTTTCATTACTTTGCGGTATTGATAGGTTTTTGACATTTCCGACATTTGAACAGACATTTTGTGTGAGTTGTGTGTGTTTGTTTTTTTTGGGTTTAACGAAGCAAAAAACTAAGCTGTTGTCGCTTGAAGAGCGCAAGACGTTGTGTGTGTCTTGCCTCACATTCGGCTGGCTTAAATACTGCCACGCTCTGGCCGAGCTCTCAAAACACCCCTATCTTGGAAGCACCAAAGGAATGTGTTCTCTCTCTCTCTCCGTTTCTTTGAAAATACCTCCACAGAACAATGAGAGTGTGCTGGCGATCGGCCAAGAAACAACCCCCATGGCAAGCTGGAGGCCCAAGCCAAGCCAGGCATGTGTCTTGGCATTTCTTATTGTGTTCCTTGACGAAGTTCTCTCCCTCTCTTTTTCTCTGTCTCCCTTTGGCTTGTCTGATAATGGTGGTGGTGGTGCTGGCAAATGCACCCTTATTGTTGTTTGTGTTTATTGTTTACCTTTAAGGAAGTAAAATTAATGCAAAGGCATGTCATGCCAGTCAGCCAGCCAGCCAGGACCTTTTTACCAACCGTGGGAAACACTTTCATTCCCACATTCTCACGCGAGTTTCATTTGCTCACCTGGCCACAAGCAGCCAAGAAATCCTGGGCCATTGTTTCGAAAGCCTGGGAATATTTTTTCTGCTCCTTCGAGCAATCTCAACGCTGAAGGGACATAGAAAAATAACAGCTGTCGTTTTTTTGTTGTTGCTGTGTTTTTGTTTTCCACACAAAACTACAACAACAAGAACTGCATCGGAATCTAATTGTTTCCTGCTTTCTTCTTCTCAGACATTAAATGCAACGGCATTTTGGGCGAGCGTCATCCCTCAGCCCATGGAGCTGGAGCAAGCTAACAAATGCGCGTGTCTTCCCAGGGCGTCCTTGTTTAGCTGCTGGCCTGCACTTGTCCTACCATCGTAAGATCCTTTCCTACTTTGATTATAGGATCGTGGGGTGTTCGTATGCTATGTTGCTGGGAAAAGCTTGTACTCGTGTCTTGCGTATGCCCAGCATGGCCTATGCTGGGTTATTGGGTGCCACCCAGGATAACCTATGATGTAATTAGCGCACGTTCTTGACCGAAGGTCTTCGGAAGGCCTTTGCCAAAAATTCAATGTGTAATGGGAGAGATGAGATGGGTGTTGTAAGATATTTGTAATTTGGAGTGAGATTATGCCAAGGAGCGGGTTAATTGAAAGTTATTAGAAAATGCTAATTATTTCAGAGGAACTGAAGTGTGGGGAGAGATTTTTTTTGTTACTAATGAAAATAATGAAAACATTGCCTTACAATTGCTGATCCTAGATTTATACAAAATTCTGACCTTTTGTCAAAAAAAAAAAAAAAAATAATAATAATAAAATAAAATAAATAAATAAAATTAAAAAAAAAATTGAGAGTGAGATTATTCCGAACATGTGCCACTAAGGCCAAGGAGTGGGTTAATTGCAAGATATTAAAGAAAATCTAATTATTTTAAGGGAACTGAAGCGTGGGGGAGATTTTGCTTCACATTCACACTTGCTTAACCTACAGTTATACGAATTTCCGGTGTCCTGTCAAATATAAAAAAGAATTGTTTATAATTATAACAATATGAAACACGAAAACTTCACTGTGGAACAATATTCAATTTTTTCAGTAATTATAGGGAGAGTCCAACAGATTATGAAAGTAGAGCAAAAAATAGAAAAAAAAAATTAATCGCAAAGTAACAAAATTGAAATGGAATTTTGTTTTTTGAAATTTTCCGGCTAAGAACTCCTTGGAGTCCTGGCATATTCAGTAGCAAAATTGAAATGGAATTTTGTTTTTTTAATTTTCCGGCTAAGAACTCCCTGGAGTCCTGGCATATTCAGTATTTAATGTCTTAAACAATATTACTGGTAAAAATAAACAACCGTCCAGGGAGCGGTATTTTTGTTCATTTGGTCCAAAGCGGTCTTTTTAGTCCTTTTTTTAAAATATGGCTAAAAACTCGCTTTAGACGATATCGTAGAGGGACAAAATATTCTACAAAACTATTTGTCTTAAAATTCTACTATGGGTCCTAGAAGACATCAAAAGTCCAAGTCTTTCCTAGATGCCAGATTCGTAAACATTAAAAAGCTAACTTAGGCGTTAAACCCAAGAATCCGTACTTTATTTGAGTTTATGTAAAATTTTCCGACAAAACATCATCCTAGAAGGATAACGTTAAAGACAAACATTTTCTGCATCAAATTTCACTAAAAGTCACCAAAGAACTGAAATCTCTATTTGCTACATATATGTAGAAAATATTATATCAATATTGTGAAAAAAAAATATTTTCTAATTTTTTAATCAACATTTCCTCGGTCATTTTTCGAGTTGATGCCTAAAAGTAACATAAAATTCCGTTTTAGGCAGAATATGCCAAAAGAAGAAATATTCTACACAAAATTACACTACAACTCTCAGAATATACCATGTAGGTAGGTTTAATAGTTTTTAAGAAAATTGCATTCAAAATGTATATATTACAATTATTAGTTTACCTTGTTATAAGTTTACCTTGTTAACTCCAAATTTTAAGACGTTTCCATTCTAAAGCAAAATCTCCATTCATTTTTTAGTTTTTGGGAAAAAAAAAGGTCAAATGAAGAAATATTCTAAATCACATTTCATTGCAAGACTCTGAACATAAGAAATTTGTATTCTCAATATGAAACATGAAAAATAATTCATCAATTTTGTTTTTTTTTTAAATCATTTTTGAGTATCAGTCAATTTTGCTGACAGATCTATACCCTTAGCCAATGTTCGACTATTTAAATATATGTTGACTTCTGTTATGATTTTTCAAATTGTTGACCCTCCAAAGGAATGGGCCATTATTGTCCATTTTCATACTTCATCTAATACAGATTGGTATGGACAAAATGACAAGAAAAAAAATGTATCCAATTTTATCCGAAATCATAAATTCCATATTCATTTCAGGTTTCTGGTTGAGAGAAAAATTTAGATGTAGCAAGTTCTAAATAATCGTTGATTTGTATCGCAAGTAATAACTGAAAAACGTATTGAAAATTGTGACCCTCTGTGGGTGAGGCACCAGAAGAGGTTCGCATATATAGAAGAAATGGTCCGATCTCTGTCATATTTATAACAGATCTTGTGGTGATGGAAATATTGATATGTACCAAATCTCAGTGAAGTCGGATGTTAGTTTAGCGTTTTATGAACTTCATGAATATCCAAAATTTTGACCCTTTGTGGAGGAGGTACCAAGAGGAGTTGACCGATATATCCCATCTTCACAGCAGATCTTGGGTAAGTAGAAATAATGAGATGTGTGATATGAAGGGAATCGGATATTTATTTCGGATTTTATGCTAGTTTTGGCTATTAAAAATTTGGACCCTTTGTGTGGGAGGTACCAGAAAAAATGGTCCGGTCTCTATCATCATTATATCAGATCTTTTGTTGATGAATATATTGCGATGTGTCAAGTCTAAATGGAATTAGATGTAAATTTCGCGTTTTCGGAGCTTCATAGATATTCAAAATGTTAAACCTTTGTGGGGAGGTACCAAAAGGAGTGGAGCGATATATTCCATTTTCACACCAGACCTTGGGTCAATAAAAATATAATCAATCAATATAATCGAACTTTTACATCACATTTTATAAGAGCTATAATTATTCAAAATTTTTACCATTTGTGAGGTAGGTACTTGATTGAGTGGACCGATAGTGATGCAATTTTAGGATTTGCAAAGTTGAAGCAAAATCGGAATATCTTTTCTATTTCTGTGCAGTAAAATTTTTTCTTTGAAAATGTCGACATTTTGTGGAGGAGGTACCAGAAGGGGTGGACCGATATGCCCATCTCCGAACTCGATCTAAGTTTGATTAATAATATTACGATGTATCAAGTTTGGACCAAATCGGATGCTTCCTTCAAGAGTTTTTGTGCGCACCAGCCAGACAGATGTACGGACGAACGGACATCGTTAGATCGACTGCAAATGTCCTGAAAAGGATTTGGTCCAAAGAGACCTAGTATCTCAAAACGTTATTCCGATGAGGCTGTGTCAAATACTCTCTCTAGCCATATGGATGAAGGCATAATTAGTACTTTTCAAACAATTATAGTACACATTTCAAAACCACCTCCATATCTCAATTCCAGATGCCAAATGAGAGTTCAGTATTAAATTTTGAGGATTCCAGTCTTATTTCTTCACCCAATACGAAATTTAGTACTAATAAGTACTTTTCGTACAGTTTTGTGACACATTTCCGTAACCACCTCCATATCCCAATTCCAGATACCCTGAGTGACCTAAATTTCAAATTTCGGGATTCCAGCTCAATCCCTTTACGCAATGTCCAATTTAGTACCAATTAGTACTTTTCGAACAATTGTAGCACACTTTTCCAAAACCATCTCCATATCTTAACACCTACCGTGCTGTCCATATCAAATTTCAGACCTTTTCCTTAACCCAATACCATATTTAGTACCACTAAGTTCTTTTCGTACAAATATTGGACGCATTTCATCCCCTCCGCCAAATCTAAAACACCGATACCATCAGTAATCTGAATATCACATTTCAGAATTTTATCCCTATTCCTTCACCAAATACCAAATTTAGTACCAATTAGTACTTTTCGTACAACTACATTTTTGAAACCATCTTCATATGTCCGGGCTAGACGTGAACACCGACCCTAATACCAAACTTCAGATTGCAAGTACTATCTGTTCATTCAAAATATAATTGTACCAAGTATAGTACTATTTAGTACTTTTCGTGCACTTGTAGTACACATTTCCAAAACCACATCTTTTAACAAATCTACCACCAACAGGGACCTCAATGCAAAATTTCAAATTTATGCTTCATCCGTTCACACTAAACCAATCTGTTCTAAATTTAATACCATTTAGTACAGTTCGCACACGTAGTACACATTTCCAAAACCACCACATCCAACTTATTTTCCAACCCAGAGTCTCTGACCAAGTTTTTAACTCTATCCGTTCACCTAATACCAAATATTACCATTTTAGAAGTTTTGTACCATTTAAGAAGTTTTTGCAACCTTAAAAGTTCGAATTTCCAAAAATCCTTCGATACCTGTACTCCGTCAGTGACTCCCATTCTAAATTTCAAAATTGTAGCTCATTTCGTTTGTCCAATACAAAATATTCAATTTTCAGTACTTTTCGTATTTTCAGTACTTTCGGACTGGCCCTTGTGCAAAATTCCAAGGTTCTAGCTTCATCCGTTTTTGTCTGGTCATTGATTCGAGGTCAGTCAGTCAATCAGTTATTTCAATACTCTTTGAAAATATCTCGAATTGGTTTCGCAAGTTATGAGAGATGTAAGCATTGATAAATTGTTTCCCTTTATGGGGGGAGTACCAGAGGAGTGTTCCGCTATATTCCATTTTCACACCTGATCTTGTGTTAATAGAAACGTTGAAATATGGCCTCTGATTTCACATATTAGAAGAATTATAATTATTCGAAATTTTGATTATTTAAGGGGGAGGTACCACTCCATCAAGTACCAATATTTTCCGTATTCGCACCTGACCTAGCACTGATAAAAAACCGTTCCTGTTCTATAAGGAAAGAACTGGGCACGGTTTTGGTTCATGCTCTACAATTTTGCGCATAAAAATGAATTTGGTTTGCCACAAACATGAGTACATTTTTCTCCGGGCTCTGGGTTGATTATTATTTTAAGCGATACAATTTGTATCGCATAATTTCCAAACTACGAACCTGTTCGACTGTACCCCAATTAACCATTTTCAAATAATTCCGTTACCTATATAAAAACAATCTGTTCAAGTAAAGTGATTCGCCAGATGTATTGTCAAGTGTTGCCTTCTTTGGACACCTGACTTTCAATTGTCCTGCACTTCGAGAACGACAAATCAAATTGTCCTTTCATTCCCTTCCCTTTTGTTTTTAGCACTCCGGCAATATTGCCAAGTCGTTGGTGTGGCGTTTCTTTTGTTTGCAATGCCCTATTGTCTCTCGCGCTGGCTGGCCATTGTGCCAAGTGCAATGTCACGTCATTGATTTGACTATTGTTCTGCAACGCTACAGTGCCTGTATTTGCAATAGACAATACACTTGTTCGAAAGTGTCACAACTAGTCGCTGGAAGGACTATCGAATCGGGGCTATTGTTACTTGAAATTGATTTTAAATTTGGCTATTTGTGGAGATTTGAAGTTCGGAGTAAATAAAAGAAAAGCAAAATAAGAATAGCTAAATACAATGGAGATTCTTTTGTTTTTTATTAAACTATTATAGATGTTTTCGAGAGATCAGGTGGGTGGCAATAATGTGCTAAAGGACAGTTTGTTTTGCTGAATTTAAAAACAAAAAAAGGGAATATTTTGAACAAAAGAGAATCTTCTGAACAGTCGAGAATACCCACACTAGATATTTTGTAGGTCTTCTGTAGTTAGAACATCTATAAAATGACTTAATAATGGATAAGAAGGCTTTTAGGCTTTAGATTTGAAGGCGTTCTAAAGAAAATTTGTAAGTTCTTTAAAGTTAAAATGCTCTTAAAAGCCCTCTCTAAATGAAAGTTTGAAGCGTTTATAGTTGGAAAGCATTGGAAGTTCTTCAATGGGTACAACATTGCCTAAAGGTCTTCTTAAGCTAGAAGAACTACAAAAGCTGAAGTCATTTTTAAGGTGTTTTGTAGTTTTTTCTGTATACATCATTCAAAGGCTATTCAAAATAGGTAAGACTTATTGAAGGCCTTCTATCGTAGGAGGGACTCAAGTTTTGTAGTCATAGTTTTCAGATAGTCATCTATCTATAAAAGGCATTTAAAAGGCTTCTAGCTTTAATCCTGAAGACCTTTATAAGTTTTTCTCTTCTTCCGTTTTAAGATCTTTATATATTACTATTTGAAGGAGGACTATGGAAGGCCTCTAGCTACAGGAGATATTTTTAGATCTTGTGGAATTACCTGCATGCCAAATATCAGAACTCTAACTCCACTCCTTTGCAATTTAGGCTTTTTGCAATGGAATACAGGGTGAGATAAAAAAAACTGCAACAAAGTCAAACGCCACCATTTTTTCATTTTTCTTTTAAATTTTATTGAATGAAAGTAAAAGATATCGGAAATAGCATCAAATTTTAGAATATGTTTAGATTTGTTCGAATTGGTCACCTTTGGCACGAATTATGGCCTTCGAATGGCCAATGAAACCGTCACACGCTGCCCGAATGTTGCTCTGCGGTATTTTGGCCCATTCCCGGCGAAGCGCTTGCTTGAGGGGATCGACACTCTGGTATTTTTAATGCCATCTTTGCTTTCCAAAATACTCCAGACACAATAGTCGAACGGATTGGTATCCGGAGATTTTGGTGGCCATTGTGCGCTGGAAATGAAGCAAGGAACCTCATTTTTTAACCATTCTTAGGTGGCGCGTGCTGAGTGCGATGGTGCTGAGTCCTGTTGGAATGTCCAAGGTCTGCGGCCAAAATGTTTGCGTGCCCAAGGCTTTAATATACCCTCCAGAATATTTTCGCGATAATATTCCGCATTTATTATGATACCACGGTCGATTAATTCGAGCGGAGAGCGACTATCGGCTCTTATGGCGGCCCACGCCATCATCATGGCCGGCGCTTGAGTTCTGGTGGTCAACCGAAGGTGCACATTTGCAGCTGACCTCTTTGGCAAGTAAGTATGATAATTTTGTTTGTTTACAAACTGCTGGACAACGAATGTTTCCTCATCGGAGAAAATCAAATTCCGCAGTTCACCACTTTCGGCCAAGCGAAGCAACTCTTTAGCTCTTTTGAGTCTATTTTCTTTCTGCTGTGGTGTAAGTTCTCGCACTTTTTGGAATTTCAATGGCTTTACCCCGAGCTCATTTTCAATATTTGCCGAATGGAATATTGCGATATGCTCAGCTCACGAGCCATTTTTCGGCCACTGCGACGCGGGGCGTTTCGTTCAAGTCGCTTCTTTACTTTTCGAACCATTTCTGCTGATGGTGCTGTTATCTTTCGTCCACTTCCCGGACGTAGAGCTACACTACCGGGATCACGGTAACGAGCAATGGTACGGGACACAAAAGATTTATTCACATTTAAACGATGGAGTGCTCTAATGATAGCCACTTGTGGTTTTCCATCCAAATATAAAGATATCCCACTATCATGCTTGAACTACATCACGAATAATTTTTATTCTGGAAAATTCTGACCAAAATGCTTTTGTCCTCGACCTTTTGTGGGAGAGGTGCCAGAAGGAGTGGACCGATATACCCCATCTTAACACCAGACCCTGGATTAATAAAAATATTGGAATGTGTGAAATTTGAAGACAATCGGACTATTACATCACATTTGATAAGATTTGTAATTATTCAAAATATTGACTCTTTGTGAGGGAGGTACTTGACGGAGTAGACCGATATTGTCCATTTTCGCACCTGACCTAGAACTGATGCAAATATTAGAATTTGCAAAGTTGGAGCAAAATCGGATTATCGTTTCTCTTTCTATGCAGAACATATATTTTTTGAAATTCGATTTTTTTGTGGGGGATGTACCAGAAGGAGTGTACCGATATTGCCCATCTCCGAACTCAATCTAAGTTTGACAAAAATATTACAATGTACCAAGTTTGGACCAAATTGGATACTCCTGTCAAAAGTTATAGTGCCCATCAGCCAGCCAGACAGACAGACGGACGGCCGGACATCGCTAGATTCGACTCCAAATGTCCTGAAATGGATTTGGTCCAAAGAGACCTAGGGTCTAAAACCGTTATTTCGACTAGGCAGATTTTGACCGTATCAAATAATATATACGCCCTCTCTAGCCATATGCCTGAGGGTATAAAAATATAGCCCCTAAGCACCAATAGTAGTAATCAGGACAAATTTTTGTTCTTTGAATAAATATGGGTAAAATGTTCATTAAGGAAGAGGGACTGAGTCGAAGTACACCCTCCCCCAGCGTACTTACATATATGTAGCTTATTTTTTCCCAGTCTTGTTTTTGATCTTGTAAATATTTTACTCCTAAAAGTATGCAACAATTGTTTATTATTTCCAATATACAGATCCATCTGATTTTCCATGGTTTTGGGACGTTCTAACAGATTTCGCATTAAACATAACTGGACTAAGTGTAGTCCCCTAAAAGTATGCACCAGTTATTGTCATTTACATTTTCATTACTTCTAAAAATTTTGGAAAAAAATTCTAGTATTTTCTTCAATACTGTCTGTGAAAAATCACGTTTCGTTATTCGGACATTCCGGTTGAAAGCAACGAATTTTATCTATTTTTGATATTTAACTACTCCCAAGAGTGTTGTTACTTATTTTCATTTAAATAGGTTTCACTCCTAAAAGTATGCACCACATTTGGTAATATTCATTATTTCAAATAATTCAGATTCATATGAGTTTTCTTGTTTTGGAAAATTCTAAAAGGTTTCATATTACCCAAAACTGTATTATGTGTACCATCCTAAAAGTAAGCACCATATTTTGATATTTAATTTTTCATGAAATTAAATTTGTTTTTTTTTTATATTTTTTTAATTTTATTTATTTTCATTTAAAAATTATTTTGGAAGATCATGTTTCACGTTATGCCTACAAACTAAATTAAAGCTTAAACATTGTTTATATCAACTTGTCCATCATTTGGAGATCGTTAAGTTGTTGCTGTTGTACCATCAGAATTTTTGTCTTAAAAGCTATCACAGATTATCACAAAAAAAATAGAAAAAAAAATAAAAAAAAACATTTCAATTCTAAAAACTAAAAGAACACAAGGATTGTTTGTGTTTAAGGCAAATAAGTGTTAACTTGGCTTAAAATGCTAATAAAGCTTCTTAATTATGAGATATGAGACAATGTCGGCGGTGGTGATGATGATAAATTCGTTGTTCTGTTCCTGAGCCAGTTTGGGCGCCATTATTTACTTTTTCGCTCTTTCTACAGGATTTTGGGAGACTTTTTTTGTTGTTCTCTTTTCACCAAGGACGCCAAACATCCTCTTCCTTGAGAGCTGCCTGATGTTGTTGCAACTGCTGCTGTTGCTGTTCCATATCGGCCAAGAGCGACTGATTCATGTTGCTGGCAAATAGTTGCTGTTTCAAATCCTTGAGTTGATAACCCAAATGTTTCATTAGTCGGGTGCCAAAACCCCGATCAATGCCCGGCACCGTGGAGAAAATCTTAGACACCTCATAGGCCGCCTGGGTATATCCCTCACGAAACTTTTCCACATTGAGGGTCTTCTTCGATCCACCATTGTTGTGGTTGTTGTTACTGGAGTACAACAAAGGTTGTCTGGCCTCCTTTTGTTGATTGCGCAAATAGGATACTGTCATCTCCAGGATATCGGCCTTTTCCAATTTATTTACATGTTCTCCCTGCTCCTCCATGGTATCCACAATCAATTCCTTCAACTCCTCCAAATAGAGATTCATGCGGGCGCGACGTTTTCTTTCCAGCAACGGTTTTGTCACTTTGCGATAATGTTGGGTCTTGGTCATAAATTTCTGTCCATCAACAGCCATGCTTTTTTTTTTTGAGCGATCACGAATAACGACGAACAATGGATGGATGAAACGAAACGAAAATCCAAAAAAAATAAAACGCGACAAAAAATATTGGCAAGTGTTTGCTGTACGGTAGCTGAATTGTAAATGATGTTGCCCGTAAGCTAAACGATCCTTTATGTACCACAATCAGCAGCCAGCCAGCCAACCATCAAACCAATCAACCACCACCACGATCCACTCTGTGGCAGAGAGTAACCTGTGTGAGTATGTGTGTGAACGTGCAAGTGATTTCTGGGCCGCCGAGTGCACCAAGATTCGTACACCAAGTGGTTGTTTGCCCATGCGTCAGGTTGGGTACTCGAACCACCCTTAAATCTGTTTTGGTCAAAACAAGAGCTCTCTGCACAACACTTGCTGCTGCGGCCGGTAACCTGTATTTGGGAGAGCAAATTACATGTGCATGCGAGAGGTTGTGATCATTGTCTGCCCTGGGGGGACAGTTCTGTGTCTCACACCGTCCGGCTCTTTGATTAATCCGAAAATAATGAATGAATGACTGAATGGCACATAAACTGCAATGTGACAAACTGTACACGGAGAAAAGTGATGTCATTATTACATGATCAGGTGGGAAGCGGTCGGGCAGAGAGTACAGTTGCAATTTTATAGATTTTTTAATTTCTAACTATTGAATAATTGTTAGGGACTTAAGACCCTCTTGAGGTATTCCAAAGGGTTTCTTACAAAAACCTTTTTTAGATTCAGAGATCAATTTTTTAAGTTATTTTATAAGCAGAAGGTATTCGGTTCTTAAAATTTATTTATGAAGTCATAGCTCTTAAGAATAGTTATTAAACCTTCAGCAGAACTTCTATTTTAGAAGACGTTCTGGTGCATGCTATATGAAAAAATCCGATTTGTCTCTTTGTTTATAGAAAAATTCGAGCTCAGCTGTGCCCTTTCTTTACAGGAAGCGTTCTGGATTCCTTCTGTTAATGGGATCATTCTGGAGATTCTCTGCATTCTTCTGTGCATATACTTTATTATATTTGTCGAAGACATTTAGGGGTTATTATGGTTAGGGAATATCATCTGTCGTCTGTCTATAAAAGATCTTCTGGAAATGAGGAGAGGGGACCTCCTTTTGGTTTTAAGCCAGTGAAACAACATATTTTTAATTTTTCTATCCACCTTCTGTAGATTTTTCTGCAGATACTCGACTTTTTCAGAATTTTGTGGTTGTTTATTTGCGAAAGTCATTTTGATTTTTTTAGAGTTTGTCTGTATTTAATGCCCTGTGAAGGTATTTCTGTCTGAAGAAGATCTTTAAAGGCCTCCTTGAAATTTTCTGTCTATAGAAAATATTTTTTTTAAGTTTTTCGTCCACGTAGATCCATCTGGAGATCTTTTTTCGACAGTACACCATAAAATTTACTATCTGTGTATTGAGGATGTTCGGTAAGATTTTCTTCTCTATATAGAATAACTCCTCTTTAAAGTAGATCTTCTGGAAACTGTCGTTCAATAGAAAGTCTGGAGATCTTCTGCCTTTAGAAGACCTTCATTATATCTTCTGTCTGTAAGAGACGCATAAAAGGTCTTATCTCTAAAGTACCTTCCTGATGTCTCCAGAAGATCTTTTGAATGTTTTCTGTCTCAATAGATGACACTTTGGGTGTTTCCTATTTTTCAAAGACCTCCTCTATGTCGACGTCTTTTATGTGGGGGGAATGTGGGATATAGAGGACCGACTCTCGTCTTTCTGTCTAAAGAAGACCTTTCTAATGTCTTTAGTCCAAAGCGTATCCTTTGAGGGTTTTCTGTTATATTAATCCTCCTTGATGAGTTTAAAGTACTTCTGTTTCTATAGGAGATCCTAATTATCTTCTGTCTTTTACGGGAAACCTTTATGTGATGTTTAAGTTCTTTTGTCTGTAAAGGAGCTCCTGAGGAGGCTTTCCTGATTACTTTTGTCTTCTGTCATTTACATGTCTCCCCTTAAAAACAGGCCTTCTGGGGATTATATCTCTATTGACAACCTTGGGGGAACCTTCCAGTTACCCTTTTGTCTAGACAAGCCTGTTCTGAAATATGTTCTAGTGGCCCTATGTCTTAAGCAGACTTTTTTGATGTTTTCTGTTTAGAAATTACACTTTGGGAATTCTTGAGAAGTACTCTGTCACCAGAGGACCCATTGAGGCCCTGCTATAAGCAGAGAGTCTCCAGAATTCATGCTTTAGTGGACCTTGTGAGAAGCTTCTGCAGAAGACATTCTTTATGTCTTCTGCCTTCAGATCACCACTTGAGATTTTCTGTTTGCAAAAGATCATCTGGGGATCTTCTGTTCATAAAAGTCACTATGAAGGCCTCCTGTCTAAAGAGATCCTTCTGGAGAAGTCCTTCTGGAGCTCCCCTGATTGTAAAAGTTCTACTGAGAAGAAGAATATTTATTTATATCTTATATATCTTCCGTTTGTAATAGGCCTTTGAAGTTTTAATTTCTTTGTTGTATCTCCTGGCGGTCTTCGTATCTTTGGAGAAAATCCTCTCGGAGTATTTTATTTCTAGAAAACTTTCTGTGCATCTGCCCATTCCTGAAAGCCTTTGGCAGGTCTTCTGCCCATAGAGGAATGCTTTTTTCTATAAAAACCGCATAGAATGTATTCTAAGTATATATTACCCCTCCAAAAGTCTTTGTCAGACATCAACTTACAGATCGCCTTTTGGTGGTATTCTGTTTATTGAGAAACTCCAGGATTTTTTCATGTCTCTTATTGACCCTTCTGGCTACAAAAGATTTCCAGGAGTTCTGCCGTCTATTGAGAGCCATCTAGAAGTTTTCAGTGCATTGTGTGTTCTGCTGCTGTTAAAAAATGTTGTTGTTACCTTCTTGCCATCTTATGTCCTTCGGGTAGTTTTCGATACATACAATGCCGCGGAGGTAATAATCGGTTTTCAGGAGACTTTGTGTAGGTTTTCTGTCTACAGGAGATCATCGAACAAAATTTTCCATAAAATACTTTTATAAGGGGATTTTCCTCTAGAAGACCTTTGATCTTCGCCTTGTAAAATATTTCTAGGTTTCTTCACAAAATATTTCTAGAAGTCTTCAAAAGTCCTTTAAGAGATCTTCTGACCACAGAGATTTTCTGACCGTCAAGAGATGACTTTCGATAGTTAAATCTTCTACGTAAGGAAGACCTTCTGAAAATATTCGCTATGTGGAAGACCTAGTAGAGAAATTCTGTCTATAGAAGGATTCGGTCGGCAGAAAACCATTCGAACGATTTTTTTCTTTTGGAAGCACTTTTTAAAAACTCTTCTGGGGATCTTCTGTATGTAGATCGTCTCGGGAAAGTCCTCGAGAGACAACAAATTTCTTGCAGGTTTTTTATTATCATATGATTGCTTAAGGGTCTTCTGTAGTCTAAAGAATTATATATATGAGGTCTTCTAAGGAGTTTTTCAATCCAAAAGAAAACCATAGAAAAGCCTATGAGAATCGTTGATCAGTAAAAGGTCTTCTGAGCATTTCAGGAAGGTCTTCTAGGGACAACAAATGTTCTGCAGGTCTTTAATGGTCATATGATTACTCAAGGGTCTTCTGTAGACTAAAGAATTTAATGGATCTTCTAAGGAGTTTTTCGATCCAGAAGAAAACCATAGAAGAGCCTATAAGATCGTCGATCAGTAGAAGGTCGTCTGAAGGTATTTTACCTACAAAGTACTTGTTTGAGCTTTTTCATTTCAAGAAATTCTTTTTGGTATATGTTATCCTGAAGATCCATTAAGGGTGAACCTTTATATCTTTGGTTGGTTTAACCATTTATCTAGCGAATATCTTTAGGAGTTCATTTTTTTCGAGGGCGACCTTTGGAAAGCCTTTCGAAGACTCGAAGGCTAATGACGACACAGAGTGAGCACATCCGATTGGCTCGAATCTCCATACCAGTAAACAATCAAAAACTGAAGAGAACACGAAGAGAAGACATATAAAAAGGAAGTGAATTGATTATTTTCTCTAAGTGTAGTTATATTTTTACGAAACTGATATGAAATATTGCATAACGTTTGAGTCGAATCAGGTGAGCCCTAAAGCACTTCGGAATCGGAAGGATATGAATGTAAAGGAATTTTTGAATGTGGGTTCCGAAGATCAACTTTATGGAAATTTGAAGTTTCTAAGTGCAAAATCCCATTACCAAATAATGGGTTTGTTAAGTACATTTTGACCCCAGTAACTACTTACAAAACAGAATTCTAATCCCTTACATGGTAATCATAGTAAGTACTTACCGAACTACCACCAATATCCAATGAATACGTTCAGCAAACCTAGGGTTTTATAATTGGTCCTAAGTTTTGTAGGAATAACTCATTATTTTTTTTTTTTGCATAACTGGTAATGCAAAAGGTATGTAGCCGGTAATGTAATGATAATGCAGAAGGTATGTGGTTGTCATTACTGGTAATGCAGAAGGTATGTGGTTGTCATTACTGGTAATACTAAAAGTGCCACATATGTGGGAGCCTGATAACCTGTGGGGATAACATTTGTCAATTCGGGACCTGAAAGAGGTATGCTTCATTATCCGTCTCTCGGAGCAACCAAATGATTAATCTGGGACCTAATATAGTGGGCCAATAGATATAACGCTATTCCTAAAATCTTCCCCTTTTAGAAATTTCCGATAATCCCTTTCCCAATTCGAAACGGAATCCCAACGCTACCACGAACCAATCATGCCACTCGAAAATCACAGCAAACTCCATTGAGCGCTAGCAAGCCAAACAAGGCCAACAATTATAACCACCTTTGGGTGAGCCATTCTCGTGCTCACTTCAAGATCAATAAAGTCGTCGATCGATGTTGGGTAGCTGTTGTCGTTGATCACAAATCTCGTCTCGTGTTCAACTGCATGTCCAAAGTGAGTCGGCGAGTGGTGCACCCCACCACTGGCACTCTCTTTGATACTCGCCTGATCGAGATGGATCGCTGGTGGTGGTTGCGATTCGTTGTTGTCGTCGGTCGTAATGGCCAACAACATTGCGTGCGTCTGGCTGTTTAACTCACTTCCTCCCTTCCAAAAAAGCAAAATCAACAGAAAAACTGTAAATTCTGAGCTCTGCTACATTGATCGGGTGATTGTGAGGTCGGTTGGGTCGGATCGGATCGGTTCGGTTGTTATGATCATACGAACGACACACGCATGGCTTGTTATGGAAGGAAACCAAACAACGAACATGCGATACGAACGAGTTACCGACCGGCCTGAGTGACTGACTGTCTGGCTGCCTGCCGGCGGCAATGCATTAATGAATGAACAAATGAACGAAGCAATGAATGACTGGCTGAAGGAAGGAAGGAATGGCATGAATGGGAGAGTATAGCAGCTCACTCACGACACTCACATTACCAAAACTGACAACAACAATCGGCAGCTTCGCTTTTTTTGTGCCTTCACGCTCACTCTGCTGTAAAGGAAATCACTTGTCGTCGTTGTCTCGGCGAGAGCAAGAACCGATCGATCGTGAGAAAGTGTGCACCCTAAATTCCCACACTTTGAATGTTTTGTTTTTGATTTGGGATTTTTG